TTGTATATATAAGAGTTGCTGGTGTCTGTTTTTAAATCAACACACTCAGAGTAGAACAGTGTTTTTTTCCTTTTCCTTTTCTATTATCTCATATATAAAAATTTTATTCCTACCAAATCCAAGTTCTTGTGCCAAACACAAAACTTAGTAGAATAGCAAGACACAATAATAGGCACAAAATTATGAAACAAGATAACCACTGCATAAAAATTTTAAAAGGAAAAACACATTTATTTATAGTTTACACAATTATGAAAAAAAAAATACAGTAAATGATTGCACAAAAATTTCTTTTTGTGCACCTATTAAGGCTGGATAACAATTTTAAGGATTACTAATGAAAAGTAGAAAATAATTACGTTTAGGGAAAAACAAGGATTTTGGAATTGACAAAAAGAAAAAACAATATAAGAAGGCTGTTAAAAAACAAAAGTTCAATAGCCTTTGAGAAAAAACAAAAATAGCTACTTTCACAGTAATTTCTTTGAAAAAAAAGTCCCTTTTAATTTCATGCAGTTTGTGCTTGGGAAAATTTCTTCAAAATCTTTTCATTTTAGGCTGTTCCACCACAGGAGAATTTTCATTTGAACTTTTGGTCTCTCTGCAGCTGGTTGGTAACTGTTGCCTTCTTTGGGGTTCTCTTCTTGATGTCAAATGACTTCTTTGATGTTCACAACCTGCCTTGTTTCCTTGCTGTCCAAAATTCTTCTGCTCGCATCTACTGACCTGAGCCCTATTTATCTTAAAATTTAGGCTAACTTCAGGAAGTTATTAGAGTTTGAAACCACATCTCTCATGGGTCAATATATGCAAAAAGATAATTTCACAAATTTTGGCAGGTTTTAACCGCTGATCCGAAAAAGATACACAATTGTAATAATTTTTACACAAACATATAAAAAAATACACTTCACTCAAAAGAATGTGTATTAAAAAAATAACCTAGATGATTATACATTTAGATGATTATAACATTTTTAAAAGAATAAAACTTCAATTTTTATATATATACTGCTTCACAAAGGAAACAATAGCACAATGCAGTGTACAAGCTAACAGAGAAGAAAAAGAAAAAAAACTAACCTATTCGGAGTGCATTGATTTAAAAAAAAAAACAACAGACACCAACAGCGATAATGTTTATATATAAGCATCCTGGGAACTTTTGCTAGTGTGATTTTTTTTTATTGTGATTTTATGGCATTTCCATCTTGGCCTGATGGGCATTCTCTGCCTGCCTTTGGTGAGTTTGGTTGGTGTGTGCATGGTATGAATGCACCAACTACTCTTGTACCATCTTGAACTTGCCAAGGGCATATAAAATACCTATTTTCCCAAATAATAGTTGCTGACCACCTGATGATTGCTATAAAAACACATGAAATTTTAGTTGTATTTGACCATCATTCACCAGGAATTTATTGAAAAAAAATATATATAAAAGAAACAAACAAATAGACACTTTCTGGTTGTCAGATTTGATTTATAGCTGTCTCTTATCCTCAGAGATCCCAACGCATTTTCCTCACACACAGTTTTGTTTTTCATTCTAACCTGAATGTGTTGTTTATAGATTCCCACTTTGTCTCATCATATACATGTTTGTATATAATTGGACTTAAGGCCACATCATGTTGAAACACTGCTTCCTTATAGAATCACTAAAGTTAAGCAACTTCAAGCCTGGTCAATAACTAGATGGGTGACTGCTTGGGAATACCAGATGCTGTAAGCTTGGATGTGCAGGTGGTGTAATGTATAATGGCTTGGAATTGTTAATCAAAGACCTGAGTTTCAATTCCCATTGGGTTTGTTTTTGTTTCTTGCATGCCAATATTCTTAGGAAAGGCATGAATCCACCTCTTCTACACCCAGTTATGGGTTAATTAATAAAAGTTGTGTAAGACTAGACCATTATTATATCCCCACAAAAATAATTCTTATAATATAAAAATATTTCCTGGCTTTAAATAACCTGCAAATATTTGATAAGCTATAGAAAACAAATCAATCAATTTTATGTGTATATATAATTGGTATTTATTCTTCTGTATATCTTGCTGAGCTTTACTTTCATTTCAAGAATAACATTTTAAAAAATTTCCTTCAGTGAGTTTATCTTCATCATTATTAGCCAGTATTTTTATCATTTATTTCAGTTTAATATGTCAAACTGGTGCAATGTCCTGTTTGCTTTATTTTACTTGTGATCTACTAGATGTTCTTAAGACTCTGTTCTACTGTAGTGGTACATTATATTGACATATTTGCTTCTGTTGTGTGCCAGATTAAGTATTGTTCAGGGATATATTTTCCTTTGTTCATATTTTTTTCTTTTGAAGAAAGGCAGAGAATAAATTTACAGAAATGTAAAAAAGAAAGCAACAGCAATTATGAAAACAGTTAAAGTTATATTTGGATATTGGGAAACACTCAAGTAAAAAGGAATTAAATATACAAATTCATTTAATATTTTTTAGAAAAATTATAATTCATCAGTTCAATTTTCATTTGCAGGTTCAAGACATAAGTCACTGGTGATGACTCCTGAACATTCAGATTTAATTTTCACACTGGAACTGATCCACACTGAACCAACATATGAACAACCAGAACAAACATGGCGTTTTACATCAGACTTTGCTGTAAGTTAAAATAATGTCAGGCTACAGGTTTTTAAATCTTGTTTTAGTTTTAACATAGAATTGAACAAATATTTTTGAAAATGTTATTTATGATATTTTGAATAAAAACAACTTTTTTAAAAAAAAAATCTCCACTATAAGACTTAAAACAACAAACCAAAAAAATTACAATATTTTGATATTGATTTTAATTAAGTCTTCCTTTCAGTGTAATGGATATCAATCATTTTTAGTTTGGGTAGATCTGTTTGATCTTTCTTTCTTGTTAACACTTCTATTTTCAGCTAATTTTGACACTGACATTTTTTCTCATCTTTCAAGCTGTCTGGAAAAATTTTTATAGGGTTAGGATTCTGTTGTGCAAAATTTAAGATTATTTTAATAATCAGTTTTGGTTTTCATGTCAAGGAAATTGATGTTGCTGAAACACTAGTAATATCAAAAATTTTAATTTATTTCCAAAATTTAAACAAAAATCTATTATTTCCTTCAAAATTAGTAATTTAACTTCTTAATAATCTAATGAAACCATTTTTACTATTATGGAATTCCTAAAATATTAGGAAAGAAAAATAAATATTAGCTTACATCTTATATCTATATATATAAAACTGACTATATGTGTGTGTGTATTCGTGAACTACTCGAGAACCATAAGGCATATTTCCACCAAATTTGAAACATAGATTGTACTTGATACTGGGTGTGTCTGGGCAAAAAAATTAGTCATTTTTCAAAAATCAATAACCGATAATCGATAAATATAATGTTTAAATGGGAATTTCCATTAGTTTGGTTGTTTTTAAACTATCAGACTTGAAGTCTAAACCCTGAGACCAATTTTAATGAAACTTGATAAGTGTATGCAACTTACTGTCATGCTTATTATACGCTATATTGATTTTTGTTTCTCTCGACACTGGGACCCCAGGGGGATACCAAAGGTACCCAAAAAAATTCAAATTGCTTTGATTTTGATGAAATTTTGCATGTTTGTTACGCTCTTACAATGAGATAGAAATTGGTTGTCAGATTTTTAAAAATGCATGAGGGGGCTCCCAGGATGACCCTATAAACCCCTTGATGCTTCAATTGCTTTTCAAGTGTATTTTGTAGCAGTATTCCCCAATTTCAATGAAAATTTCAGTACATATTGAGATTATATCGAGTAACTGAAGTAGTCACTTGGAATTCACTGAAAATCAACATTGGGACCCCCACGAGTTAGGGGACCAGCAGGGAACCCTGAAATTTTCAATTAAGTCTACAGCCTTGGCCATAAAGTTGATTATATAGAAAACTTAAAAAAGATGTGCTTTATTATTTCAATTACTATTAGTCTTAAACTTGTCCTTTGGCTTGAAATTTGGGATCCCTAGGGTGAACTAAAGGGACCCCCAAATTTTCAAATTGCTCCAATTTTGACGGAATTTTACATGTATGTTACAAACTTAAAATGAATCAAAGATTATTATCAGATTTTGAAATCTACATAAGGGGCCCCCAAGATGACCCATGAACACCTTGCTGCCCCATTAGTCTTTCAATTGTAGTGGTTAGCAGCATTCTGATGAAAATTTGCACATAATTTGTGTTTAGATCAATTAACTCAAAATCAAAACTGACATCCCATGTGTCATAAATACATTATGAAAAATATCAGTTTTTCCCATGGATTTCCCGTTTTGGTACTGAAATAGTTTAGTTTGCATTAACTTGACGGCAAAAATTATATCCTTCCTTAAGAAAAAAAAAGAATAAGTGCAAACAAAAATGTGCACCGATAAGAGAAGTGCAGATAGGTATAAGACGTGTGTGCGAGATCAATTGAGATGTGTAGTGTGTACAATTGATTTTGCTCCACGTGCAATGATTGATTGAGTTATGTAGTGCGTACTATCGATTTTGTTTCACGTGTAGTGTTCATTAGTGCTATGTGATGAAATAAATGCAAAAAATCTCATTCAAATCAAAGTTGTCATCCAGTAAAAAGGTAGGCTGCCTTCATGCATGTATATTTTGAATTTTTGATACTTTAAATTTGTGAAAATCATATTATTAAAAAGTTTAAGCATAAATGCCAATTTTTAATTATGTATTTATCATCTTCTAATCAGCGTTTAAATAATGCTTACTAACTCATATATTTGGAAACTTGAACCCTAAAATTTTGACAGTTTTATTCTGAAAAATGCACTTTTAATAATGTAAAGACCCTCTTTTGATTCACTTATAATTATGCTAAACTTAGCATGTACGTTTTAACGTTCATAGTGTTTAGGTTTCTAGCTGCACATTAATTTTTATTTTTATCACTAGAACGTTTTTATGGTAGTCTATTTTTAGATAAATCCTAACTTTACGACTCACGAGCTTGCACATAACTGTTTACCACATTTCCGTGGTCTCCCTTATAAACTTGCATTTAATTTATTGTGGCTATATTTCCATTAATGTGTATAATATCCTTGCTTTTTAATTGATTACTACATTGTTATTCAAAAAGCTTAGCCAAACCCCTCCAACTACTGCCTGACAGTAATGCCAAGAAAGTGAAATCCTTCACTTGGACATGCTACTACTACAGCCAAACGCATGAAAGCACGGAGAAGAAACGCTTCACAACAAGAAACTCAAATTAGACTGACACAAAATGCCATTCGTACAGCTAATGCAAGGTCAGCAGAAACTAATGAGCAATGGTTAATTAGACAAGAAAGGAACGCTGCCAAATGAGAAAAGAATCAAAAACTGAGGGGCAAAGAACAATTCTATACAGTCTTTGTGAATGTTGGTTTTCAGCCTGGGCACGGCTGCTAGAAGAAGTCTTTGTTGAATTTCTTCTCCTTCCAATGCATGTTGTTCGTTCGATGTAGTTTGAGCAAAGGCTGTCAACAATGCATTTTTCCTCAACAATCTTCGGAGATCGATTGCGATTAATGTACTCTTCATTTGCTGACAAATATTTTTTTGTATCTTCTGTGCTTCTGTAAAAAACAACTTTCTCCTATTATAAATGTTTTCACACTTCATGTCATTATAATTTTTCACCATATAGATAAGAGGCACTAAAGAAAAATCTTCTTTATTTTAACTTTATAGATTGGATGAGGTTTGTGATCTTTTTTTGAATAAACCCAGGCAACACTGGGTAATGCTGCTAGTAAATATGTGTGTGTGTGTGTGTGTGTGTGGACAGAGATTGGATAATTAGTTGACTAATTATATTCTTTTTAATTTCATTTATCGATTTTCAATGACAATTTTAGTTTGGAGTGGGGTTGGGAAGCCAGAAGTCATAGCAAGACAAATCTGAACTGTAGTGTGTTGGAGAGTCTATAGAACTGAATGCTGAGATATTTTACCAAAATAACTTTGTATGAGATGTGAATAATCTACTCAATTAGTTACAGAGAATACAACAATTGCACAGTACATGAGCTCAGTGAATGGCATTACATTGATTACTGAGTAACTCCATATGAGAGTATCTGTTCATGCATATACAGTAGTTACCAAGTTGTATCAAAAACACACAATTTCAGATCTTCAAAATGATTGGTTTACATTCTATTTAGACCTTGTACACTCACAATCCCAACAGAAAATAAGTGATTCTAATTATCATATTTATCATATATATATATATATATATATTTAAAAAATGGCAGCTGGTAGTAATTTTAAAATTTTTACCAAATTTGGAATTTATGCAATGTCCAATATTACAGAAAATATTCTATTACCATATTTGTTTTTATATTTCTTTCAAAATCATGAAATTAAAGAATTCCAGTTGGAAATCTTTAAAATAAAATGATGTTTTGCAAGATCAAATTTTAATGATTCCATTTTCAGATGGTTTACATTAGAGTTGAAAAGTGTTACAAACAATTATAATAAAATAAATTAGAATTCTTATTAAAATAATATTAATAAACCAGCTTCATCTGAAAAATCTCAAACACACACACACATTTTCATTCATAATATTGGAGTCTGTCATAAAAATTTTTTTGTAGTATAAGCTATTTTAATTAAATAAAAACATTGTATTATAATAAATGAACTTATTTTAATTTGTCAATATTTCATATTTCCTTGTAGGTGAGGGATTACTCTGGGCAATACAAAATTAAACTTGTGCCTTGTACTACTCCGCTTGATGAGGAATTTGCTCTGCCCCTGGTATGTGACCCCAGAGATTCAATAACATTCAGCATGCCGATCCGTTTGAAGCAAGTTAGTGATCCAGTTCCGGTCAAGTTCAGTCTTAACACTGAATTCTATTTGCTGAAAAAACGAGAATTATGGCTCAGTGATGGTCCATTGGCATTTGATGAAGTTTCAAATGTGGCTTTTATTGAAGGTAAAAATGTTTACTCAATATTTTCAACATTCATTTCACTACATATTTTTGATATTATACTTTTGTGTCATAAGCTTGTTTATGTATCTTAATTTATTTCTATCTTAATTCATTCATGATCAATCTATTCATGACCTGTTCAGTATCTGAGATATTTGTATATTTACCTCTGCAATACCAACATCTTAGTTTATTTATAAGTATAAATGTTTTTTTTCATATTTATATAATCTGTTAAGTATTTTAAAAGCAAAATTTGATAATTTTTTCTACATTTATACAACTTTTTATGAGAGACCTTTATCTTCAGCCAGCAAAGAAGTGGCCTGTCAAGCTTGTTTTCTCATATGTGGATTTTGTTATAACAAGTGTTTGGTTGCAAAGGAAAAGAACAAACTAGGATCAAATTTTCAATAGCATGTATTCATCAAAATTTGAAATATATACATAGATGCCTGAAATTTTGCAAAAATTATTCATGTGTGGTTTTATCAGTTGCTGTTGGTAAAGAAAGCAATTAGGTGTAAGGGTGTTGTTGATAGGTCCAGGAGTTGACTGATTTCTTGGGTTGGGTGGTCAAGGTCATAGTTGGGGTCAGAGGATAGGTCAGGAGTGAATTAGCTGTTGGTGCAGTTTGACATACACCCTTCTTCATGGTTGAAATTGACACCTGCAAAGTGTTTGATGGGTTGGCAATTGTATGATGTCCAGATGTTCAAGCCAAACTGCCTGGTAAGGTTGGTTGGTAGATTGGTCTGTCAAGGTCACAGTGGTGAACTGATTTGTTCCATTGGTGGGTTGGTTGCTGAGGTTATGTCAGTGGTGACAGGGGATACTGGGAGTGGATAGTGAAGGTATCAGAGAAGGTCATGTTGTTGACACTAAGAGAGGCTTGGATTGGATAGTGAACATTGAGGTGTTAGAAATCATGGTGGTTAACCTTGGGATCCCAGCAGTGTCTAAGCTGGCCTGTTATCCGCATTTCATGTTGAAAGAGTCAGGTCAGATTAATGAAGCTTGGGCAAGGTCATGGTTGTGACAAGAGAAGCAATTATAGCAGTAATGGTGACAGTCCACCTGCATGTCAGCCTTTCAACCTGCAACTGTGTCAGTTGTTTATGAGGGATTTCATTTAAGCAAATCTGGTGGTCCCTAGGATCATCTTTTTTTCTTCTTTTTTTGCAAGAACGAAAAAAAAAACACTGGCTATTGATTTTATTGTGGGGATTTGTATTGTAGAGATTTGTTTTGTTTTCCAGGTTCAAGTGATATCAAATAAATTCATACAATCAGTAAAATCCAAGTTAAATACATTCATATAAATAGAAAATAATGGTAAATATTTATAGTGTTTTTTTTTTTTCATTTTTAAAATACTTTTCAGGTGATTTGATTTATGGACGCATCAATATTGATCCTGTCCAGAGTTTGCAAGACTCATTTTCCCTCAATATAGAAAAAGTTTTCATTTGTTCTGGCAAAGATGGCTACATTCCTAAATACGATCCAGACAATCAAGAATATGGCTGTGTTGTTGATTCTCCCAATTTGCATGATGTGTTCAAAATCTTGGTAAGTATTAAATAAAACTTTCTATAGAGAAGTCAATTAACTAATTAATTAGTTAATGCTATTAGAATCTTGCTCTTTTTTGTTACCTATTAAGATACAAGATCACTGATAATATGACTTGGTGTATAGTACATTGGATCTGTTTATTTTTGTTGGGAATTAAAGTCAACAGAGTATTAACTGTTGTGATTAAGATTTGAACTTGCTTTATTGATCTCAAATGTTGAATCACAAGCACCAACACACTTCTCTTATCATTATATGTACAAACATCAATAGAAATCTAACAAGACAATATGTATCTTAATACACATACTTTTACTTACATTTTAATGATTATTTCCTTTATATATATATATATATATATATATATATATATATATATATCCAAGTATAGGATTGGTGTATACAGAATAGATTCCAATAACCAAAAATACTATTCTTAAAAGAGTGCTCAATACAGAGTAGAGCAAATATAATTTATTTGAAAATTATAACATGAACATGTTATAAAATCACTACAAATATAGCCATTTTCTTTCAACACTTCTGGTTTTATTTTTCAGTTTTATAGTAAAATTTAATATTACTCAGAATTTTAGTCTAACCCTAACATTAAGCCATTAATAATTATAACCAAGGTTTGTTGTCAAGTTTTTTGAATTCTCATATACTCATAGCTTATGTAACAGTGTTTCCTCTATTGAGTGGTGTTTGGTTGATTTGAACCTTTTAAAACTCTTTATTCTACATTTCAATAGACATATATATATATATATATATATATATATATATATATATATATATATATATATATATATATATATATACACCCTGTCTGAAGTTATTAAGCAAATCATATAAACTTTAATAGTTCAAATTTGGTTTGAAAAAATTGTTAAATTTGAAACAATCAATTTAGATGTCAAAACAAAGCCCAAGTTAAAATTTTAGGTTGTATCAATATGTTTTATTGAAGTTATTTGATGTATTCTAAAAAACTGCTGTAGACTGCCAACTAATCACATTTTAATCAAAGCTACTAATTATCCATAGATTTTGTTAATTTTTTTACTTCAGCAGGTTCAATTTCTGACATGATAGTTTTAATTGCTTCCCATATGTCAGCTTTTCTGTTATATTGTTTGCCACCTTCATTTAATTTCATCTTCACAATTGACCATAGATTATCGATCAGATTCAGATCAGGACTTGATGGTGGCCATTCCATTATCTCCTCTCCTGTAAATCTTTCATACTCAAAGAATTAACAGGTAAGCTTAGATATATGAGAAGGAGCATTGTCATGCATAAGTACATGCTTCAATTTGAAACTGTGAGACTGTGGCATGTACCTTGTTCATAAAGTCTTGTTCATAAAATCACAATAGTTAGCACTGTTTAGTTTAACTCCTTCATCAATTTCGAATGGTCCAATTATGGTTTGGATGACAATTCCAGCACATCTCATAACATTGTTGCCTTCTTTTAACTACAGACACATCGGAATTGGATAAAATCCACCCTTTGGCCCATCCGTCAGGTCCCTCAAATATCACTTGAAATTCCTCTGTGAAAATAAACTTTTAGTGAATTTTAGTGAATTTTCATGTATTTCTTGGTCCAATTTTGAGGTTTTAAAATAATTGCTTTAGTAAGAGGAGTTTGCCTAGGACATTTTTTTACAGATCCCAATTCACAAAGTATTCTACATCTTTTGTCCCTCACTTCCAACTTTTTCAAAGATTTTGTAGGGGTACTGAACATATTTGGTTAATTTTTCTCTCTGGAGATAAAACTGGCACAAGGCCATCTCCAGATGTACTTTCCAAATAAGACCCCTTTCCCTATTATTTATTTTATGAAGATCAAAAACTCTTGACGTTAGACAAGAAAGGAGAAATAATGATTCACAAACATATTGTTTCAAATGTAACAATTGAATTTATTAGTGTTTGGTATACATGCATGAATACTGAGTGAAAAGGTAGGACAGAGTCGTGTCCCTTTGATTTGGTAATAGTTGTACCTGAGTTCATATTAAAAGGAAGTAATATTAAACTGTAATATTGAGTGTTTGGAATTGTATAAATAAGTTAGGTAGAGTTCAAAGATAATACTTGCATGAATTAAGTATTGTTTATTTAACGTCTGACTGAATTAGTCGAGATGGAGTTCCTTTAGGGTCACATTTTGGCAGCGTGTTGAGATGTACGAGTGACATAGATAAGTTAGGCTCAAGTCAGGAAGAGCAGGAATGGAGAAGAAAAAAAACATCACACGTGTTGGGTTTATATAATGGTCATGTATTACGTGACTGGATCAGAATTTACTTGGCACCTAAATTGACTCTGCATGTGAGAGCGATCTGATTGGTTGAAACTGACCAATCAGCAAGTTGGATGTACTGTGATTGACCAATGGTTCCTTGTTGATATTTTGTATGAAAGTAGGATGTTACTTACCAGATAGGAAGAGTGCATTTCCTAAAAAGAGGAAAGGCTGGTTTGTTGTGGAAGATTCCACAATTTGAGCACAGGTCAAAAATGGTTGTTTCACTATAACTCGCTTTAGTTTACATTCATCTCAAGGAAGCAAGTTCTTAAGGCCTTTTCCTTCACTTCAAGTTCTCAACTTGCTTATATTCTCAACAGCTTACTTTATTGTTCAATGATCTCTGCAAAGCTCCTTTTATATCTCCAATGTGGACATAATAGCCTCACTCAATAACTTTGTTATTTTCTGTTTTTCAGGAGTTGTTAGATCCTTCCCTTTACCCATGTTTCAACATATATTATGGACAAAAAGAAAAATAGTTTTTATTAGATTTCAGAGGTCTTAAGCTAATATTAATTAAATCTGCATACTAACTTCAGTCTGTCCATTTTCATAAATTCCAAATATCTCAAAAACTAACCAGTAAAAATGTCAGAAAATTTAGTTAAATATTTTACTAAGGGTGGAAATGGATGTGTTTAATTTGACAAATATTGGTTCAGAACTTTTTGAGTTATTGAGGTTTATTTGATTTTCATAATAACTTCAGACAGGTTGTATATACACGTATTGGCTTGAAAAAAAATTGTAGCACTTTTCAATAGCAGGCATTTTAACACATAATTTTATTTCTCACATTAAAATTTATGACATTATGCATATTTGTGTAGAGACTGTGGATAAAATGTTTTCATTGAAAGTGAAAATGGAGGAAAATCAAGTTGCCTTTTTGTCATTTGATGCCTTTTTATTTCCAGAAAGAAAAAAATATGCTGTACAAACAGCAGAAAAGATATGCACCACTTAAAGAGATGGTGCCATGTTTGAAAGTAGTTCACTAGGTTCAGAAGTAGAAACTTTGATTTGGAAGACTAAGATAGGCTTGTAGCCATTACTGATGAATAAATCAAAATGCTGATTAAAAATAATCCAGGTCTCACACCATAAAACATCACAGAGTTGCTTCACATACCTGTTGTAACACATTTGAAAACACTTGTATATGTGAATCACTACAATGTGTGGGTTCCTCAAAAAATTTAATAGACAATATTCCAATTTGCTATTATGTGCTTTAATGCAACAAAATTTAACCATTTTTTAAAAGAATGGTCACATGAAAAATGTTTTTTTACAACAATGTGAAGTGAAAAATGTCCTAGGGAAAATGAAAAGGCGGTCTACATCTGAAGAAGGCAATACTGTGTATCTGGTGTGTTTGGATTTCCACAAAATCGATTGTTGAATTCAGATAAGTATTGTTCCTAACTGGATCAATTAAAGGCAGCAATCGATGGAAAGTATCCAAGACTAGCCAATCAAGGGTATCATTTTCCATCAGGACAACACCAGACTTCATGTCTCTTGCAGACTTTACAGAAATTGGTACAGCTTGTCTAGGATGTTCTACTATATTTGAAATACTCACCAAATCTTGAAACTTCAGATTACAACTTACTTTGATTCTTACATAATTCTCTTAATGGGAAAAACTTAAATCCTCTGGAGACATTCAAAAATCACTTAGACCGTTTCAGCACCCAGAAATATGCCAAGTTCTGGGAGGATGAATGAAGCTACCTCAAAAATGACAAAAGATTTTGGATCAAAATAGTAGATATGTGATTAAGTACATTTATGTACAGATATCTAAATATTATCTTTGAAATTCACTTAAAAGATGCTATGAATTGATATCAATATTTTATGCTAGCTAACATTTCTAATTATTATATTTAGAAATAATTAGAAGTGTTAGCTAACATAAAATATGTCACTGAGGAATTTTCAAAACCTACATTGATCTGGGATACTGTACTTATTTGTTAGATCATCACAATATCTTAGATAATCATTGATTTTACAAGTATATTATAGAGATTTACTTTATACTGTAACAAATTAGATCATTTGTTGTTAAGTGTCCAATTAATGCAATTTGATAGAAAGATAGAATTAATGAACCTCAGTTCCATTATCATTCCACCATGAGTCTTTTATTATTATTATTTTGCAATCATTCTATAAAAAGATTTTAAAGTTCTTCTTTGTAGTATTTCTTCTTTTTCTTTCCTCCTGCTACCAAACTGATTTCATTATATTTTCACCAGAAACTTAATTTGAATTTTAAAATATTGTTTCATCTTTAAATAAGCAGAAATTCCCAGCATTGCCTGGAACAAAATACTAAAAATATAAGATTAAATGCAGCAAAATTATTAAACTATTGGGCAGTTCATACTCCTTCCACGTCTTTTGAACAGAAGTAAAGATTTATCCGTTGTTTCCTGTTGAAGAATTGGTTTCCGGTTCCACCTCTTAAATTTTCCTCATTCTCTTTCACTCTCAGTAGCCCCTTGATCTTAATGGTATTATCGCCTTATCTGGGGTGAAATGATTAAAAAACAAAAAACACACAAATTGATTTTTCCTCATAACCAATAGACATTTGTATTAGAACTAAGTGAGGAAGGAGATAGTATATGGAAATGTTTAAACAAAATGAAGTATTGGGATATACTATAAGTTGTTTTGTTTTTGTATAGGAGAAAAAATTGATAACAGACAAAAAAATTTAAAACTGTAAATTTGACTCATGAAAAGAAACTTATTTAACATTACTGTGTCATAGATTATAATGGATCCACATTGTTAGATGTAAAAATCAATTTGTAAATGGAAACATTATTCTTTCTTAATAAATCAAAATCTTTTCTTCTGTACTAAATTCAACTTAAGTAATCATTGAATTATTATTTGTCAATTATTTTCTAAAAATAATTATTTATAGGAGAATCATTTTTGGTATTTAAAAAAAAATATTTTGTTTTGTTTTAATTGTACTTTTAGTTGGTTTCATTAGGGCTGTGCCTAAGGTCAATATATATATATATTTTTTTTTTTTTTTCTATATTTTATTCAGTTAGCTTAAGTCTAAACAAAACTAATTCCAGGTTAAGATTTTTAACTAATCTAATCTAACATCTCATTATGCCTAGTTAATGACAATCCCCGTTTGGGTTGTTAGACACAAATTAAGTGAATAAATGGACAAAATTGTTCTCTAAAATTCTTTCAATAAATTTACAGATGTCTACATTAACAACTAAACAAAAAAAATGTTTCTTTGATGAATAAATCTTAGTTTGTCAATGCTGCAATTACTGTTGCCCTAAAGAAAGGTGGATAAGTAAACTAAATTAAAATTTTATCATTTTATCCTTCCAACCACATATTCTTTCCAATCAGTAAAAATATTGTAAAAATTTGCCATATTTTTTTTCTAATTTTCTTAAATGTGTAAATGTTTCAGAAGCTTTAAATAAAATTCATTTATTATTTATTTTAGAATATGTAAAAATTTTTAAACTGGATTTTACAAATCACTTGTGGCTTCAGAGTTTTTTTTATTCACATTTCATAATTAATCAAAATATATAGGAAAACAGAAATATATTTAAAAGAAATTGATAATTAATATAAAAAATGACAACTCATACACTTAAAAAGTTATTTTTTTTAGATTGATTCATTTTCTATAGCTTATCAACCTTTTGCAGCTAATTTAATGGCAGAAAATCTTTTTAGATTGTAAAAATTTTTGGTGTGGTAGATAATAAGTGATACAAGTCTTTAGTGATACAAGTCTTACTAATTAACCCATAAATGGGTGAAAAGCAATGGATTAATATCTTTCCCGAGGGTATTTGCACATAAGTGAATATAATGAATCCTAAAGGTGTTGAAACTCAGCTTTCTGATTAACAATTTTGAACCATTATACATTACACCACCTGCACATCTAAGCTTACAGCACCTGGTGTTTCCAAGCGGTCATCTATGTAGGAACTGACTAGGTTTTGACATTGCTTAATTTTGGTGATCATACGGGAACTGGTTTAAACAGTTTGATGTGGGTTTTATATTGGCCTGCAAACAGATATCAAATGACAGAAGACAACAACAAACAAAACAAAGACTTGAATAAAAATAAATATTGCCAAGTTTATGTCTGTTAAAGAAAAATACATAAAGAAAAATGAAACTAGACAAAAGATAACTCTGCAAGCTCATGTAGTGGGTGAGAAATAGCCTTGTCCTGAGAAGAACAGTTTCATGGCCACTAGAGAGTGTTGTCCTGAAAAGAACTGTTTATTGCATAGTGTTGGCAAAGATGGCTGGAGCAGCAGGCCTACTGGAGCAGCAGGAGCTGGAGATAGCTGGAAAGATGGCCAATGGCAAGCTGCAGATGATGATGGCTGGACCTGCTGCTGCTGGTGGCTAGGAGCTGTAGGCAAGTGGTTGATTGCTGCTAGAACAGATACTATATTTTGATCGTAGCCATCTGGGTGGCAGAACTCATGTATTAACCCATGCCTCTCCACAGAGATGGGATACAACACAAGGTCAGTTGTTTAACATAGGGTACCCAAGGGCATACACTCAGGTCACTGGTCAAAATATTTGTCAATTTTTACACAGCCCACACTTGCATGGGATCAGGCACAATGCACTTAGATGATCATGGCTGTGGAACAGATATTACAATATGATCTCTATTTACCAGAGTCCATTAGTCTCGCCTGGAGAGTATGGAGCTCACAGCTCTCAACTACATGAGGTATCTATAGCAGATAGGTTTTACCAGATAAGCTTGTTAGCCCTAACAGGTTTTGAATTCAGTGTTGGCTTCCTAGGCTGATTGCCAACCAAGGCTAAACAAGCCAGTCTGCCCTGCTATTTAACTCATAACTAGTGAGGGAGAAGAAGATATGAACACATACTTTTCCCAAGGATACTTGTGCATACATGAAATCCATCAGAAAATCATATATACACTTCTGTTTTATTGTTTTTAAAATATCTATACACAGTAACTTCTTTTCAGTTACAACATCAAAAGCATGTTGTAAATGAATAAATGTGCTTAGCATGTTGTATTTTATAAATATTCATTCATAAGTCCATATGTACATGCAGATATGCTAAGCATATTTATTATTTATTGTGTTTTTGTCATTTAAGTCAATAGTTATTCACCATATTTAAAAATCTGAGAACAATAGCTACTAGTCTGGTGTTCTGGCTATATATTTAGAGATTCTTGAAAAAATCCAAAGAAGAATCTGCAATGTTATTGGTGTATCAGCTTCAGTCACTTTTCCACTACCATAACATGGTTTCACTGAGCCTTTCATAGTAATTGTTCTGATAAACTTTCCTCTTTAGTACCTAGACTTTATGAAATTAAGTAAGCACAGTACTAGATTGGCAGCCAGGTCTCATTGTGTACAGTTGAAATTGCTTGATACAACCTTAAGTTCTATGCTAATAGTTTTTTCTATCACACTTCTCACTTGTAGAACTTTCTTCTAGTTTTTTGCTGACCAGTTAAATTTGATCTTCAAAAAATTTAAATGTACTGTCAATTGATATCTTCTGTCTTCTTAATTCCTGTTCTTTTATTGTTCTCTGCTTAATAGTGTTTTTTCCATCATATTGTCTAACACTCAGTAACACCTTTCATCTTAGTAGTTTTATTTCCTTGCTTGGGGTGAAATGATTATAAAATTATAATATTCATTGCTTTTGTTTTTAGTTCTCTCTGTAAATAGTGAAGGTAAATTATTTGATTTTTATTTTTTTCAGGACAAAGGTGCAACGCATACTGCTGATAAATTATTCCACAATATTTCTTTCAATGCTACATTGGCTTCAGAGGATCCAACAGCTTATAAACTGACTGAAATGCCTGGAATTGATGGCTTCTCTCTGTCTTCAAAACCTCTCTTCCAGGTAAATAATTCAAATAATCTCTTTGTAATATATAGACATATGTACATATATGTGTTTGCTTGTTATTTTTGCTAAATTCCTTACTATTACTTATAAGGCAATTTATTAAAATTACTATCACATTATGCTACATATCTCAAATGAGTTTCAGTAGCATGCAAAACCATTATGAGTTATGCTGGGTCATATGCATTCTATAATTTATTAGATGGTTCTAGAAGAGATGGCACATTTTTAAATATTATTCACTTGATTAATTTGATTAGTTTTGTAAAGTGAGTTTTGAAATAATAGATTAAATATCAATAAAACTAATTCCTGAAAAACATTATTTATTTGACACACACACACACACACACACACACACACACACACACACACACACACACACACACACACACACAAATGGATACTACATGGATTTGTGGATGCATGTAGACATTAACTTAAATAATTCTAACTTGCTGAACATGAGGTCTGAATTAATGTCTACATGCATCCACAAATCCAAGTACTTGCTCAAAAACATTGATCCCAATTAAAAGTGATGGCATAATGAATTCTATGAATATTAATATAATACGCAATAACTTCTAATACCCTCTGAACTCATTAACTATAACTTTACATATATACCTATACACACATGCAATGTAATATTATTGTAATTGATTAATTTATAACGTGTGTGCATATATAATTTCACTATTATAAGCACATTAGATACATAGTCCCGACCTATTATTTATTTAGTTCTCTTTTTATTTATTCATTTGATTTTTTTATTTATTTACTTATCTTTGTATCTTTATATTATATTTCTAGTTTATGAAAATGGGCATAACTCCAGATTTTTACATAAAAAATATGTGATTCAAATTGTATGACAGAATTGAACCACTTGAAGTAACAGATTCATATAAAATATATTACATATGAAATACATTTTTATTTTTTTTTAAATGAGTTAGTTTTCACATATGCAAATTTGAATATGTATTTTCATTTACCTCCTTTTGTAACCACCATAACTAATAGTAAATTCGACAGATGCCCAAAAAGAAAACATATCAATTCATAATCTCAAAAGTTGTTTGCATTCTTACAGCAATAGCCATTACTTTTGATTATGACCTAACAACCTTCACAGGGCAATAAGAAGACATGCTGACCAATAGTCTGCTATAATAATGACATCTCCCACCATGTCGATGGAAGACGAGACAACACAACTTTGTTCTATATACTATATTCAATTTCTTCCATTTAACAGAAATAACCCACAAATCTAGTTTCACCAACTCTAAGCTTAACTGCAAACATAAAATATAACTTCACAGGAGAGAGAGGGATTGTTACATGTGTCAGAGAGGCATTAATAAAGGAAATAGCAAATGAGGTGGATGATATCTTTGAAAATGTGTATAGTGATAGTAAAAAAGAAAGGCTAACTACGACTTTCGTACCAGCAAAAAGAACAAAATGTCAAAAGAAGGTTTTTTCCATTGACATCACACTATTATTTTAACTACATTCACTTATCTGCAATGTTTATTGTTTTTAAAGGGGATAATTAGTATTGTAATTAAACTTAAACATATGTTGAAAATAAATTTATACATTTTTTACACATATATGCCACCTTCATTCAATAATTTACACAAGGGACTATGACATCTAAATAGATACATGCTTATATACATACATATATATATATATATATATATATATATATATATATATATATATATAAATATATGTATATATATATATATATATGTATGTAAAACAAACCATCTACTCAAACAGGTAGCCACTAAAAATAAGGTTTGAAATAATAAAAATATGTCAGATTAAATAATTAAAACCATTAATTCTTTAGAAATTGCTTTGTTTATGTTTATGAAACTGAGCAGATATCACTTTCAAGAAAATCTGAACAAGTTACTATATATTAAGGCAAAAAGAACCTTGCTTCACTGTGAAGCATTCTGTAGCTGAGTGGTCAAAACATAAAGGATCTAGTTTCTTCTACAATGGGAGATAAAGGTTGGAATCCTGGTGAACAGTAAATTTTCTTTATTAAGTTTACTCAAGTGTGTAGGCTAAGAGACACAATAAACACTATTTAAAAATACATATTGTCTACTCAAATACAGGTATCCTCTAAAAATAACATTTACATTTGAATATATGTATATATGGGATTAATGCAAATAAAATTTGTCACTTTATTGACGGTATTGACATTGATTGATTATTTATATTTTTTACACACACACATATATATGCATATGCAAATAGGGATTATATATATATATATATATATATATATATATATATATATATATTATTGCACATATAGTGCTGGTATTAATAAAACAGTGCTTGATGTAATACAATAGAGGTATTAAGAATATATCAATAAACTTGGAGTTTCATACACAACACAATCTTCAGGTGCTGAGTATAGACTGACCATTACATAATTTAAATTTTAATAAAAATATCTGATTATCTGTTGGTGTATATCACACTGGGATATTTTTATTATTAAAAGATTACTAGGTCTTTTTTTATATAAAAAACAAAAACAAACTGTAATTTACCTAAAAAATAAACTATAATTTATATTAAAAATTAATCTGGATCAATATATTTAAGTAGATATTTATTATCAAGCCTACATGTAACCATCAATTCATTTCTCTTGTTTAATAATCTGTGGATATTCAAATGTTTTAAGATAATTTTTCAACAAGACATAAGTTATATTTATTTTCTTTCCTGTTGTAAGGTAATATGTATATTTATTAATAAATACTTAATGGCTAGGTTGTATTACATGGAATACTGTTTTATTAACACCAGCACTGTGATATATTATAATTATATTTATATATATATATATATATATATATAAATTTACTCACATGAACAAACACATGATATACAGGTGCAATGGATAAAATGGTCATCTAAATTACACAAAAATGAAAATAACACTGACATCTAATTTTAATTTTAACAGATATATTTACCAAAATTACACAAAATATCTTGAAATACTAAAGAGTAAATTTATTAAATAAAATCACCATTGGCTTCAACAATGGCCTCCATACACCTTCGGATTCTTCTGCATCTTGTCTGGATGGTCTCCTTGTTTAAGTTTGTAAATGCTGCCATAATCCTTGTCTTCAATTCATCTTGGGTGTTACAATGACTTTTGATGGTCTCTCACTCAACTGCACCCACACATAATAATTAAAAGGGTTGCAGCCTGGGGAGTTAGGTGGCCAGATGTAAGGGGTGATGTGGTCACAGAAATTGTCTCACAACCAGGATTGGATTCTCCTGATTGTGTGGCATAGTGCAAAGTCCTTTTGCCAGACATAGGGTCTTCCAGCAGCCAACCTCTTGAACCAAAGCTGCACTACCTCCTTAAGTCACTTGATGTAGGCTTCACCAACAAATTCAGGAGTTCTTTTCTCATCAGAGTGAGTTTTCTGAGGTCTCGTACCTTTGTAATCACGATTAGATTCAGCCAACTATTTTCAAATCCTTTGCACTGTCCTCAGATTGACACCCAAACACTCTGAAATATTCATATTGGAGCTTCCAGTATGAATTCCAAGCAATACAGCAAGCCATTTCCAAATTTCTGGTGGAGTGACTGGTGTCATGGTGCTATTTTTCTCACAGATGGTGCTCAACTGACCCTGTTATACTGTGCAGTTGATGAAATCAAAAACACTGTGTGTGAGCAAAATTAAAAATATAAAATGGTGACAATTTACCTATCGCACCTCACACACACACACACACACACACACACACACACATATATATATATATAAAATCACCTGCAACGCATGACTTAATAAAAACATGAATATAGTGAAATATTGTTATAAATATATATCTGAATTTCAAAGTCAAACATAATGGATCACACACATGAGCTCACACACACACAAACACACACATGATTTTGAGGATGACTTTATTGCATGAAACTTGAAGTCACCATGAAGTGTTGTGTCTCTGAAATATATAGATTCTTGAGCACTTTGTATTGTATTAAGTTGAGGTAAATTCTTCAGTGTATGTTATTTTGTCATTTTCTTTTCTTTGGTTTGTTAAACATGGTTTCTTTTGTTTTTTCTTTTGCTGTGTTCAAAGTTTCAATAATTTTACTTGAATTAGGTTGGGGGAGAATAAAATTCAAAACAAGATGGATAAAGGCTTTTGACTAAGGATTACATCCTAATTACAAAAGTGAAATGCATCTGTGGGAAGGAATGCAAAAATCTGCAAAGACTTAAAATCTACCACAAGAACAAACCCAGAAATAACTGTCGGGAAAAGAAATTTTGCCAGCTGGGATGTGAGCTAAGATCCCTAATGAAACAATAGAAAAACAAATGAGGTGGAAAAGCCATCACTTTCTGAACTCCGAGACACATTGAGGTTAAATTTAAAACTCTTTGTAGAGCAGAAGGTCATAGAAAATGTGTGAAAGAGAGGGCTAGGAAAAGAGCACCCTTTATTTCAAACTCTGTTGGTTTTGTGAAGAGATTACTTGGGGATAAAAGAAATGGTAATCTTGAGTGTATGACAGAAGAAATAAATTTTTTCCTACGAGAGACACTCAGTGATCGAAATAGAGGAAATAATCTAGGAGAAAACTATTCAATTGTACCGTTTGAACTGCCAACTTGAAGGCACCGACCTTGAAATAATTAAAGAATGTCATATTGGTAGCTAGATCAGCTTCAGCCCCAGGACCCAACAGTGTTCCCTGTAGTGTCTATAAGAGATGTTCAAATATTCAGGTATATCTCTGGAAGATATTCAAAGCAATTTGGAGGAGAGGTAGTGTTGCAAAGCAGTAGAGGTTGCCAATACTCTAAAGAAATTGAACAGTTCAGAATGATTTCTTTGCTGGATACTTAAAACAAAATCTTCTTCAAGGACACTAGAATTATCTTACAAAGATACTTCAATACAGAAGAGTGGGATTGCAGGCATCACAGGTTACCTGGAGCATATTGGTGTGATAACGCAACTTCTAAGAAGAAACAAAACAAGGGAAGGGTAATCTAGTGATACTGTAACTGGACCTTGCTAATGCATATAGACCATTCCACATAAATTAGCTGAGGAAGTTCTAAGAAGATACTATGTGCCTATTTGTGTAAGGAATCTCAAACAAGATTATTACAATAATTTCAGCATAAAGACAACCTCCAATTAGATATCTTCCAATTGACATTGGCTAGAAAGGGGGATTATCACTGGATATACAAGAACAGTGATATTATTCACATGAACTATGATCATGTTGGTAAAATCAGCAGAAGTTGTGTGTTGAAGTTTATCGATGAGAAATGGAGTATGACAACCACCAATCTGTGCATATATGGATGATAGGATAGTTACTGCATCTACTGTTCCTTGATGTTCGTGGATATTACAGGGTTTAGAAAAGATATTGACTTGGGCAAGAAAACTGACAAAATCAAGGTCATTAGTATTGAAGAGAGAGATTGTGATTGAAACTTTCATTTCAAGATAGGCTAGAACCATTATCCTGTAATTAAACTTTCATTTCAAGATAGGCTAGAACCATTATCCTGTAATTAAAAGAAAAGCCACTTAAGTGTCTGGGTAAAATATTCAATGCTAATTTAAAAGATACAGATGCTACCCAGAAATGTTTTACAGATCTCAAAGCAATGTTGAGCAAAGTGGAAAAGTCAGGGCTGCCAGTCTGTTTTAAGGCATGGATATATCAATATGCCATTTTGCAAAAGATTCTGTGGCATTAACAACAGTTGGGAATATAGAGAAGAAAGTTAGTGGCTATTTGAGAAGATGGCTTGGACTACAGAGGAATTTGAGCAGTGCAGCTCTGTATGAAGTATCAAATGCATTGCAACTAGAGGATTAGTTGAGGAGTTTAAAGTGGCAAGGACAAGGGAGGCAATCCTATATAGGGATTCAAAAGATCCTAAAGGTGAGAAGCAGGAATAGAGGTTCGAACTGGAAGAAAGTGAAAGACATTGCATGAGCTCAGTACAGATTGAAACAGAAAACACTAGTAGGAGCAGTGGTAGTAAGAAGATCAGGCCTAGGTTACTATCTGAATCATATATCAACAGAGGGCCTAGACAAAATGGGGAAACCTAGAAAAAATGAAGATTTCCTGGACGGATCTCTGGTATACTAATCCCAATAACACAAGCTTCTGTGGGCAGGCAGTGTATGATACAATACCCAGCCCAGCAAACCTCCACATGTGGGAAAAGAGTGAGTCTCCACTTTATCTGTTATGCCAGAAGAGAGGATCCTTCCAACACTTATTGAGTAGCTTCCCCAAGACATTAAGTGAGGCGCAGTACTGGTGGCACTAAGTTTTAAGTGCCATTGCAACAATAATCTCAAGGAGTTTCCAAACAAACCAATATGAACCAAATAAGATGATGAATTTCATCAAAGCTGGAGAAACGGTAAAGATATTACAGAAGAAGAAAACATCCCTCTTCATATCTGCTCTGGACTGTCAAATGACAATAGATATAGACAGGCAGTTAAAATTCCCAGTGAAAATAATACAGACTAAACTAATTCCAAACATGATTATTTATTCAGAAAAGACCATGCAAGTAGAATTAACAGTCCTTTGGGAAGAAAACATGGATGAAGGCCATGTAAGGAAACTTGGGAAATATTTACATATTGTAGAGGAATGCAAAAGGTGTAGTTGGCAAGCTCAGTGTGAACCAATTGAAATTAGATGCAGAGGCTTTGCTGGGTGATCAATCACTATGTAAGATGCTGCCAAAATTAGGTGTAGCAGACTTGGAAAAGAACAAGGCCAATAACAATGGCAACAGAAGAAGCCTCTAGATGGTTATGGCTTAAAAAATCAAATGATTGGCAGGTAGTAAGGAAATGAAGGGAAGTTTCAGTTGATATTATTATTTTTATTTATTTTATTTACATTTTTGAAGGAACTAGAATGTAGGTCTTGGGTATGATCTAAAACTACACCCAACAATGCAGTAGGGGACAGAATTAAGGTACCACAAACTATTTTTAAGTACAGGTGATTTGTGTCTAAAATTTAGCACCTGTTTGCACCCTTACCAGGGTTATGGTTTTATATAAAGTGCAGTGCATAATTATAAGGCCAGCGGAATTTTATCTTTTAACTTTAGCAATTGAGCTATTTTTAGTATTTTGTATTTTGAGTTTTTGAGTAATTTTACTATAAGTAATTTTCTACTCATAGCAATTATTTGAAACTTTCAGATTATTAATACTATATAATAATATACAAAATATTAAAAAAATTATCTCAATTGCTAAAGTTTAAAAATAAAATTCAGCTGGCCTTATAATTATGCACTTCACTATATATATATATATATATATATATATATATATATATATATATAGTGCAGTGCATTCAAACATGAAACAGACTGTCACCACTTGGTGTTGACTTGTGTCCACTCTTATATATATATGTCTGTGTGTGTGTGTGTGTGTGTGTGCATTAAATGCATAGAATTGGTTGCTTTTAACAAACTGTTTATTTGATGTAATTAAATCTAAAACAATTTTTATAAATTTTTTATTGAAGGTGGATGCTGGTAGACAATGGTATATCCATTCAATCTACACAATCCTTTCAAAAGAGAATGCACACCATGGTATCGGAAGACGCAGTGTTGATTATCATATTTTGTCATTTGTACCACAGCAGGAGTTGCATAACCGGCAGAGACGGTCAATCAATGATGTTGAAGATATTGGAAAAGAAGGAAAAGGTACAAACATGGTGCTTGTACAACTCGATCATAAGAGTAAAGCTCCAGAGAGAGGAAAAAATAAAACTGTTCAATCGTTTCCCTTGATTCCTATTTTGGTAGCTACTGCAGTGGTCATTCTCCTCTTTGTCATAGCAGTCATTGCGTTCTTGCACCAACGGAAAAAGACATCTACACCTCCACCATCACCAGCAAACACCTTCACATCCCCGAGTGGAAAAACACACATTGTTTATGCTAACCCTAATAGCAAGTTTGATCCAGACAAAACGGAGGTGTAGTCTTTTTTTTTTCCTAAAATAATTTTAATTGAGCAAATCAAAAATTTTGAAAAATCAAAAAAAAACTTCCAAAATTTCAAAACTAACATACCTGCATACACATTCACTAACTTACATGCAATTTATATGCACAAAAACATGCAAACAAATGCATAAATTGTTGGAGGGGGATGCTAAGGTCATGACTGTTTGTCCTTTCTTTCTGCTGACCATCTGGATTATATTACCATATAACATTGATCATTTGGTGTTTGTTTGAACAATATACACAGCCATTTAGATTTTGGTCAAATCACTGCAGTCACTGCACTCTGCGCATATGGGTTACTATAAAAGTGTACACTACTCAACAGAATTAAGTATTAAGTTAAATTAAGTTAATTATGCTTACCAGAGTAATTTAAAAAGAATATAAATTGTATTGATTGGAAACAACTTGAGAAGAGCTCCACTGACTTGGAACAAGATCTACATATACCATACCAAGGGTATATACAGGTATTTCAGTGCACTTGTAAAATGACCAATATCTAATGATATGGATGAGAACCTGTCATCATTTCACTGTAAACAAACCTAGAGGGATCATTTCCTCTGAGGTCAGTACATCTGTCTACTTATTCCAGTGACCTACAAACATACAAACCACAACAAAAATCTTATTTAACTTTTGAGAAAGCCTTGAAGATTTTATATCTACAGAGGTCACAACATTTCTACACAACACTTCTCAAATCAGTGATATAGTCGTCTATGGAATGATTGTCTAGACTTTGAGTAAGTCTTTTGTGCTTTGTCATAATTGTAACCAACACATTTGGATATTTGTTAAAAAAAAAAAAATAATAGCAGTTTCAATGAGACAAATATTCACTTTATATGCCTATTTCTATATCCACCGATGATGCTAACAATAATGAATATTCTTTGAGTACTTTCAAAAATGACTTTGTCAAGTTTCTTATTTTTTTTACATTTGGGGAAAAAATAGAAATGAAAATGCCACAAGAGATGTTCATCTTAATTTTAAAGAAGATTTTGAAAACTACTGAAAAATGAAATTTTTGCATGATTTGGTAACAAGCTAAATCACTGCCTTTGTTAATTGTTCAATTATTTTGCATTTAAAAATATTTTTTTTTTTACTTCTGTTCAGTGAAAATTAGATAATCAAAGAAACTTGAAACATATTTTGTTTTTTAAGTTCAATGTCAGATGACAATTTTAATATTGATTCAGTCCAGATATCTTGTTAATCTCCAGATTTTTAATGGGATTCAAAATCTATTATGATATTTTGAAATATGTTAATAACATTTGTCCAGATTAAATTATTACAGCTACAATTGTAGAGTTTTAGATCTCCAAATAAATTTCACCAGAAAAATTATTTGAATTCCAAAACAGAAAAAAATGTTATTAATGGAGATTAATTAGATTTCTCAACTGCATTTCTTTAGAGTGTTTTTATCTTCCATTTTTGTCTAAATTAAGAATTTTTAAAAATTGAAATGTAAGAGTTTGAGGAATGAAAAGCATATTTTATGTTTATAAATAAAAAGTCACAAATCTTGTTTGTCGAAAACTGTTGAGCAATTTTTTATGCCAAAAATTTTAAATACCAAACATTTATGACAATTTTATTAGTATAATTGTTCAAACATTACCAATATTGCTTCAAAGTATTTGTCTATTACAGTTTGCTTATAACATTCTTGATCATGTGCATATGCACACACACTGATTTAATTCTCTTAACAGTGACATGTTTTTAATTTGTTGTGGAGGCATCTTGCAATTTATTTTGTTATAGCTGCTACAAATGCATTTGGCAAGAACTGTGAACTGAAATACATTTTTACAGCCATAACAACAGCCCAAATATAGCCAATGCGTTTCTATAGAATTCCTAAAATATATAGAAGTGATTTTTCTTTTTTTAATAAACAAAGTATTGTTGTTATATATATATTTGTTTTTCTACAATACCAAAAAGCTAAAAGAAAATGATAAAAAAGCCTTTTATATGATATTGAATATTGAAAAAAATAAATAAAAAACGCAATGCAACTGACAGTGAAATTTATAATGCCAAAATTCATGAAAAATAATGTTTGAATTGAAAAACATTTCTGTGTCTTTTTTTTAAGTATTCATCATGATATAAACTGTGACATATTTTATGAAAATATTTTAATGGTAACTTTGTCAGTTTTTCTGAAAATCTTGAATGCCAAATCCTTAAAAATAAAAATAATTCTTGCAAGTAAAATATTCCTCAATTTGAACATTTTAAAATGCACAAACTTTGATTCATTGTTGAGGAATAATTTTCCTGATTATTAAAAAATAAATGCCAAAATAATTGCTTAAAACCATTTCATCTAAAAAATTAATTTTCAAATATTTAAAAATTTTTGTCACACTTATTTTAAAATTAAAAATATTTTAATTGAGAATGAGAAAGAATTTCTTATGCTTTTTCAAAAACCATTTAAGACCAGGCATTTTGAAAATAATTTTAAATCACTTAAATATATGTGTTTTGATGAATACCATATGCTGATTTTCTTTTAAAGGTTTTTATTTATTTTTCCTATGTCAATATCCAAGTGGGGCTAAGATTAAAAATGGGGGTGAGAATTTGCAATAAAAATACAAATTTCTTGATCTTATCATTAAATGTTATACTTGCATTCCTAATTTTCAAAAAGCCACTGTAGCTTTGCAGTAATTTATCTAATTGACTTTTAATTACATTCAAATTGATTATAAACATTCAGAAATTATTTCTTTAGCTTACATTTTATACTTCTAAGAAATAATAAGTTATATATAATGTAAGATTTCTTGTAATTGGAACCTTCATCTTAAGTTCAACATCCAAACATAGACATAAATGTATCTACATAAATCAATCAATTAGACTGACAAAAACCACTGTAGATAGCTTTCTTGTGAAAGACATTAATGTGTTTTATTAATATTTGTTGCAGATTTTTCCATTTTTCCAAACCCCAAATATCTACCTTTAATGTTGTATATCTCATATATGACTTTTGAAAATAATAGCATTAAAATAATCTCTTCAAAGTCAGTGAAGAAAATTATAAAAGAATTTCAAAAGAGAAACAAGAGTAATATTTTCCATAAAAACTCCTCTTTTTGAACTCCAAGAAAAAAGCTTTATTATTCATGGATTGAAGGAGGTGTGTGCAGAGTTATACAATATTATGCAAAGTAGAAGCTAGTAGTTTCTTTTAGTTAATATTATTTAGGGTATGTTACATGTTTTGTTTTCAAAGATCTTGAGAATATTATTTACATTGTCAAACTTTTGTAAATATTTTCCCAATATGAGAATTAGTAAAATGGCACAGTTGCCAGTTGTAAATGTCCAAAATTCTTGCCTGAATTTTTGATGCTTAAAAATAAATTAAGTTAATTTTTTGTTAAAAATACATTTAAAAAAGTGAAAACACTTATAGCTACAGAAAAGTTTGCATACTGCTGTTTTTAATAAATGTCAGGAAAATGTATTCATTGCAATTCATGATGCCAAATGCAACTATTAAAATGTACTGCTAATTCAGTGGGCATTATCATTGAAGGAATAAAGGTGTTAGTATAAGAGCTATTAAAATTTCAATACAATAATTTTGATTTAAATTGAAGTTCTGTAAATTACTTTAAATTTGCTTATGTAGTATTATATATATATATATATATATATATATATATATATATATATATATTATATAAGATATAAATTTGGGAGAAATAACTTAAATACTTGTTTCTCTAAATGAAACTATAATCAAATTACAATGAAAACACTAGTTCTTGTTTGATCACTGAAGTTATACATTATTATGCCTGGTCTGAACTTAGATAACAGATCACTTGAGACGCTATTTACTGTAAGCAACCTTCTACAATATGAAATATGTTTTCACTTTAAATAATCAACAGAGAGTTGATATATATATATATATATATATATACTGAGAATCATATATAGTCAGAGGTATCTTTTTTTCAATATCTGATTGTACTGTAACAGTTGTTGGGCAATGCTATTTCATTTTTATCACTGGCTCTCTGTCCACATCTCTGATCAATCTAACACCTTCAAAATATCTTATATAATCTGATTTGATATATTTACATTGACATTGTTTGTGTAATTTCTAAGTTTAATTATAACATTAATAATAATGACATTTTTAAATTTCTTTCCTCTAGGAAGTCTTTTGTAAGTATGCATTAACAGAGTATGACTACCAAAACACCATGATCACAGCTTCTAGCAAATGATCGACATTAGTATTGTAATAATGAATTCATTTAATTCTATAGTTTCAAAATAAATGGATCACTTAAAATCAGCAAGACTATAAAATATAAAAGTAGTTATCTATGAAATACTTTGACATTGTTTTGATGATTCTAAAAAATGGAAATTAATATAAGCTAAAATGAAATGGTGTTTAATTCAAAAAGATTAAGTATATACTTTAATATACATTTGTCTTTTTTTTTAAGGTTTTAATATGTTACCAGAATTTCAGTGATCTAAGTAAAATGATACTTTTAGGGAAGTACTAACAATTTCCTTTAAAATTCACATTTTTATTCTGTATTTAGTTTCTTCCACATATTTCTTAAGACTGATTTAAGTTATAAAGAATTAAGCCTCATTCTGATAACTGGTTTTAAAATTGAGGTGAAGTTGTATTGCCTGATACTGATTTAGAGTTCAGCCACCAATTCAAAGGAAACAATAATTCTACTTTATATAAAATGAACAGAAAATTCCATCATACTTATTAATCTTATTTTCTTGCAAACACCAACAATTTGGAATTTCAATAAAGAAATTGTGCGATAAAAGGTAAAGTTTAGAAATAAAGAATCTGTGTATTCAATTCATCTTTACTTTTCATTAATGTTTATAATTTTTATTTAAGATTTATTTAATATTTTATTATATTATTATT